TGGTAAAACCAGTCTCGGGAATGCCTTGACTTCCAGATGCTGGCAGCAGGGCACCGAGCGCGGGCAGGGCCGTCCCGGCAGCGCGGCAGAGACACCGCCCAGCCCGGACTTCAGGTACGGCCGCCCTGCAGGGCAGCAGGTGCCTCTGACACCCCTTGTTGAAGGTTTTGCCGTATTGCTGTGAGGTGAATAGTAAATAAGTATATTGGAGTCCCTTCAAAGCAGAAACCTCTGCAAAAAAATACTGAGATTCCCCGGGTGCTGCTTGTAGAATACTTAGGGAATAGGCACAACTACAGAGCTGAAATAAGATATTAAATATAAACGATCATCTCTGAGTTTGAACTCTTGCTTTCTTCAATAGTAATACTTGACATTTCTGTACTAATTTGTAAAATACATGTAAAATTCATTACACAATTTTAAAATTACCTATTTCCACAAGCCATGTAACATACTGTTGCTCTGTATTACAACTAGGGAAGCACAAGGGGGAAAAAAAGAGGGGCAATGACTTGTTCACAGCTGCTGGGGAGCTCAGCGTGAGCTGACATGACAACTGCAGACTTCTGCTCTAGGGGACAAACCACTGAATGCATTTCTGATGGGCTTGAAGCCACAGAGGTACCTGTGAGCCAGAGAGAGATCACAGTGGTCCCCCTTCTAGAAGCAGGTGGTTCTGCACTTGCTCAGAGAAACAAAACAATAACATTTGCTTTTTGCTAATGGTTTATTTTTTATTTTTAAAGCCTCTCCTTGCTGGACACCAACTTACCAGCTGAAGCGGAGACTGAGCTGCGCGGTTTCATCTCCAGGCGCCTTGCCAAGGGAGCCCTGTTTGAAGGAATGGGGAATGTAGCATCAGTGGAGCTGAGGTGAATTTTAAACATTTTTTGTGAATGAGCAACTATAAGAAACGTTGACAGCATTGCACATCTTGTCATCTGCTGCTGCACTTGGGTTTAATCTTGATCCTGTGTTCTCAGTCTATTGCTGCTGTTAATAACAGCTTATTGTAGTAAATAATTTAGTGTTTGAATACTTAAAAATGCAAATGCTTAAGACTATTTCCTTTTAAACTACTCTGATCACACCGAAGAGGTAAAAAGAGAAGGTTTAAGAGCCCTGTATTATGACCACAGGAGCCACCAGTGCTAGAGGGTGTGAATTCCTTACAGAAATCATGTATATCTGCTTTTTGCACTTATTTACTGTGATGTGTCTGTAACAAAATTGTTTTTCTTTTCTGCATAGCATACCAGAATATAAAGTTGGTTGTTATTACTGTCGTTTCCAACAAGAAAATCTTCTAGAAATGGCAACACAGGAATCAGACATCAGCACTCCAGAATATGTCGTTTGCTTCTTAGGTGGCTCAGAGAAGGGTCTGGAACTATATCCTTACCTTTATCTGTGTGGAGAGGGAGATGATGTTAAAACTATGTTCTCATGTTGTCTGCTTCCTACTTCAAATCAGCCTGTTTATGCACACCATCCAGTAACTGCAAGTGTCAGTAACAGCCACATACTGGAAGGGAAAAATGCAGATCTTAACTGATGCATCTTATTTTCCTTAAGAAGATACTTTCAGACTTGAGCTGGACAAATACATTCAAAGTCTGAAGATAAAGCCTGTTTTGGAGGTAAGGCCTAACTTTTTTGTAAGTGATGAAAATTACTATTTATGCAAATTAACTACCAAGACAATCTGGAAGATTTAGTGTATAGAGACAAAATAGGTGTTTGGTGTACCAGTGTGAAACACCATGGGAGATACTTGATTCAGTCTAGTTAAATGGCTAAAGTGCTGTCAACCACACAAGCCAAAAGAGCAGAAAAAAAGAGAGGCAGCTTTCTTTTTTTGTGCCAGTCATAAATCTCTTAAAGGTTAGTTAGATTCAGAGACAAGAATGACTTATAAAAGGCAATTGTCTACAGGAAAGTTACCAATGTCAACCTAGATTCTTGTAACTTCTGAATGTTAAAGAAGGATTTTTAATTTTTCTTATGACAATTTTTCTAATGGAAATGATGCATTTTAAGTCTGTCTCATCCCATCTGCTGTTGCATGATCTTTGCTTAATATATACCATAAAATTACAGTTTTGTCTACTTAAAATGTGAAGCCCTTCATTGCTGATATTCCACAGAAGTGTGGTTTAAATGTCAAACTCATTATTTTAGTCTGCTGTGGTTTGAAATTAACAAGGCTCTGACATCCAAATATCTCAGGTTGAACATATTATTAATAGGCTTCTATTGGTGTAGAGATCTTAATTTGTAGTTAAGTTGTAACGTTTCAACTTGTTACAGCAAAAAACCTTGGAGACTTCCGTGAATCCCGACCTGAGAAGCTGGTTTGAGAATGCCCTGTGCCCAATTCAGAGAGTGGTTCACCTCTTCCAGGAGAAACTCTCCTTTTTGCTACATGCTGTAAGTGTGTTCCTAACTTCATAACTAAAACAGGTTCAGAAGGAATTTCAGTGACTCCAACATGTTTAAAATGTTTCTTGCATTTGCATTTCCAGCCAGCTAACAGGGTATAATCACTGTGTTCTCAATGCAAAACCAGCTGCAATTGCTGTAATATGGAGTATTCCCTCAGCTTCTTTCTCTGTAAAGAACAATTTTTAATGTACCACAAGGTGCCTTTATTGCTACTAGCTCAAATATAGCAACAGAAGTAATATCGAAGTCCCATCTAGCTTTTCGTTTTGTTTTTTAATTTAAGGCTTTGAGTTACACTCCTGTGGAAGTGAAAAATGCAGATGAAAGAACAGAAAAAGATATTAGCAGGTAAAGATCCTTTGAGACCAAGGAACCTGTGAGTAACTTGGCTGTTGCATATGACACCCTCCTGTTCTTGCTGTTGAGCAGTTGTGAAGAAGCATGCAGTTGACAAGAGCTCTTTTGTGTCAGGTTTCTGGCAGCTGCTGGCCTCCAAGGCCTTGTTCAGGAAGGCACAATGACATCCTTGTCTATTGCCATGACAGAGGAGCGGCACAAGTCAATGATTATAGACTGTAGTGGACCTCAGCCTCAGCTGAGTAATGCAGGTGAGATTACAGATGTGAATACTTCATGTTACCATCTTACCTCCCTCAGCTGGTGAGAATATTCAGAAGCTTACAGGTTCATGCCCAGGAAGTGTGGATTGTGGCTGGAAGCCACACCAGTTTTCCTGTGAGGTAGCAGAGCAGTTGATCTTACCTGATACACTGGTTTGAAAATGGCCGGTTGTAAAATCCACAGTCCTTTTAGTCTGCGAACCATGAAACTATCACTTGTATGCTTCAGCAAAGCTTTTAATTTCCTCTTATATTTTTGACAAATGCTATGAAAAGGGATTCAACAATCAAAACAGAATTTCATGTAATCCACGTAGCTATGTTTGCTTTTCTTTTTCATGTGTGACTTATTTCCTGTACAATTACCAGTTGTTACCTGAGAGCGATTATATATTTATGCTGAGTTCATTCTTCTCTTCATCTCTGTGTTGCTGAACACACAACAGGAACCAACAGATTCTGTGAGGACTGGATGCAAGCTTTTGTAAATGGTGCTGAAGGTGGAAATCCATTTCTCTTCCAGCAGATTTTGGAAAACTTTAAATTGAAGGTATCTGTCCATATATGTTAGTCTTGAAGAAGGTATCATGGTTACCAAGGGAGCAAATACTCTTTGCAGTCAAGTGTTAGGTTACTTGTGATGTCTACATCTCATTAACTGATTAACTCTGAAGTTCAAGTTGAGGACTGGCTCACTGTAGTTGACAAGACCAGAATGTAAAGCAGCACAAAGGTTTCTTCAGTGACCACTCCAAATGCCTTTTCTATTTTGTTTTGTTTTTTTCTCCTTAAAATACTGTTAATTTTAGCTGTGCACACACAATACTGTGTAGTTGGGTCACAGATTGAGTAGTTATCACTTCTTAGGAACTCTCAATACAAGTTTGGGCATGATCAAGATGTGGTGTCCGCACATTTTTTCATTACAATGGAAGTGGTGATATGCATCAAAGACAACACTCAGTTCTTACATTACTCTTGAGCAGTAATATAAAATCCCTTCACTTTTCCACATTTTCTTTCCATGTAGAAGGATAGGAAAACACTCTCTTACTTTTTTCCCAGGCTATACAAGACATTAACAACCTGAAGAGGTTTATCCGCCAGGCTGAAATGAACCACTACGCCTTGTTCAAGTGTTACCTGTTTCTCAAGAACTGTGGTAGTGGTGACATCCTTTTGAAGATCGTTAAAGTAGAACATGCAGAAATGCCAGAAGCCAGAAACGTAGTGACCGTCCTTGAGGAATTCATGAGAGAAACATCAGGGGCTTAAAAATTATTTTAATTATTCTGTACTCGTTTGAGGGTATTGTATAAATCATTCATTTCTTCTGTGCAGCTTAGTTTCACCATTGGAGGATTTCTTATTTATACTTAAAAGTATTACCTAAGGAAAACCTAAGTTGCAGTTTCATCTGCCTGTTCTCTTTTTTAAGAGAAAGCGGTATCAGCTCTTTTTAATGTGTAAATACCCAATTACACAAACTCCTGCATAGTTTACAGTGCTTACCAGATTCTCCACATGATTTGCTCCTTTTCTGAGGAAATAATGACATTGGTTTTTAGTCATTGCACACACACAAAAAAACCCCAAATCCCTTACCTGGCAAGTATTGAAGTGTTTTAAATATTTTAAGTATCTTCAAAATGGTCACATTTAATCATTAAGATCTGGTTACTATTAATACGTAAAGCACAAATATCTGGATAAAAGTAGATTAATCCTATTTGTTTATGTAAGAGAACATGGGTAACAAGGCTTTAGCTAGTTTCCATATTCTACATTCTAAGTGGCAGTTTGATCTTCAGGTACTAAACAACTTGTTTATTGGTATAAAACAGAACTGCATTAAGCCTGAACTGCATTGAGGAATCAGTTTGTATGTTAGGTATACATACACTGGACAGACATGTTACGTTCCCAGGCTATTTGATGAATTATCTTCTTTATTAGTTTGTGTTGTGACCTTCCTTGTATGTTCTTAATACCCATTTTGCAGACCTGTAAATAATCATGTTTTTCAGTTGTGGAAAATTAAACCTGAAAACTACAGGTTAAATATTAACTTTAAATTAATAGAAACTTCTTCAGAAATTGAAGTAAACTAAGTTACCAAGTTAATCAGACTTCAAAACATTTAATGATATTTCAGCAATGAATTCTTAACCACACGATAGGACATTTAGGCAGCAGAATCCTTGAATAAAATCTTTGCCTGCAGCTGGAGTTAATGCTCATGAGACCTCCGAGTGACAACATAAACAAGGATTATTTCTGCAAGCCTGACAGAAGAAAAACTCCATGTTACTTTCCTTTGCAGCAGAGGCTGAAGGCCTAACTTAAGGCATTGGAACAACTGCCCCCAAAACAGTAACTGTAACAGTCTTACTAATACAGTGAACTTGACTGACTGCTCTGCCAGTGCTGCATACTGTGATGAAAGCTGAATGCTTTCCTGTGACTGGAACCTGTAATACGGTTTACAATAAAACACATTCAAATCCTTATCTGTGTGCCTGCATTAAATGACAAATGAGTGTTGTGCTCTATTTCTCTGTTTAAAACCCTTGATTCACACAGTGCAGAGGAGCTGCTGGTGCAGTGTGCAGGAGTCTGCAAGTCATGGTGACATCTGAGGTGACATGTAACATATGGGGAAGTCAGAGAAGAAAACAAAAATAGTTTGAAAGAAAACAAGCCCCTTCTCTCATTTGCAGGACCTATAAGAAGTACCAGTATTTTCCTTCAGAATGTTTTATTCATGAGCGAGTAAAGCAGCACCACTCAAAACATGTTGCCCTCTGTTGCTCTTGTACATTTTAAGCAAAGCTGGGGAGCCCTGATCATTTAGTATTTTGCCTGATCAGGAAGCAGTGAAGAGCTCAGGACTCAAAAAAAGTTGCATGTGAGGAACAGGTGACTGATCTGGTTGGAATACAAGAAATCATTGCAGAAAAACAACATCAAAAAACACACCAACAAAAAAATTTAATGGATTCTGCATTCAAATAATATTGTTACAACAAAAATATACAGAATGTACAACAATACAAAAATATTTGGAAACGTACGGCAGCGTCTTACCTTGCAAATATAAGTTTGTTTTACTAGCCCTTAACGGGAAAGTATCATTTGCTCAGTATTTTAAGGCAGAAAATCATATTGTTTAGTGCTTTGTGTTTAACACTTGGACGTGTTATTAGCTTTAGCAGGGTATGCAAAAGAAAAGTTGCATAAATCTTGCTTTATTTGCAAACTAAACAGACACTGTGGGGGAAACAGTGACTAACATACTTATTAAGCTCCCTAGAAAATTAAGGTGTTTCTGCTACTTAAATCAGGCCTAGGGAATATTTTGTGCTCTGTGTTGTGAAGTACTCTGAAACAGAAATACTACTACTGGCATTTCAGAAATACCTCATTAGAAAGCTTTTTCCAATAAAAAGCCAATGATTAATGCTGACATTAAAAATAATTTACCTTTAAACAAGCTTGGTTTCTGTCTTATGTGCGATTCTTTCTAGAGCTGCAAAATGCACTGTTTTCCTTTATATCCAACTCTCAGCATCAGTGATTGCAGGAGTTTTTGAGTCCTATCACAGAGCACCGTGGAGCAACCACTGCAGTAAAAGAAACAGAACAGCAGCAATATTCAGGGAGGCTGAAAGCCCAGATGTGCTGGCCTTTGCTCTTCAGATCCCAGGTTTGCCTCCAGAGTTTGCTGGTGTTGAACTGCATCTGTATTATCCAGTTCCACTGCAGATAAAGCCAGTTGATGGGGTTTCCAAAACAACTGAGCTGAGCTTGAATCTATGTAAACAGATACGACTGAGCTCTTCACTCACTAAAGTGTGTGTGAAAGTCCCACCCACTATCCTGTGAGACTAATGTTGGCACAACACAGCAGCTGTCATGTGAGGTCAGCAGAGGGCTGTTACTTTAATATCAGCTCTGATTTATCTGATTCAAAACGGTGGCAGTACAAGCCACCGGAGGAGCAAGGTCTTGCAATGCAGAATCCCTGAGCTTCATATCTAGTCCAGCAGCTTCAGACAGCAATAATTTCTCTGGCTTCTTCTCTCCCCATTGATAAAATACTTTCTGCTGCTAAAGAAGCAAGTAGTGAAGAATCACAACATGCCACGTAAGTGCTAAGATTCCTCATCGACTGATGGGGAAAAAGTGACATGAGATGTTGTCTTAAGAACTCAGCAAAAGTAAATTAATCAGCATTTTTACAACTCCCCTACATCTCACTCAGAGATTGCTTCTAGTAACCTCTTCTCCCATCATTCTCCCCCTCCTCCTTCCTGTGTTACAGCTGATGTGTGCAAAATTAATCTCTACCTCTCTCCAAGAATCTAGGAATAAAATGTGCAATTTGCAAGCCCCACGGACTTTTATCTACCTGGTTGTCTCCCTCCTTCTTCCCCACGGCTGCCAGAGTTCCTTTCTCCTGTCCCTCCCCTGCGACAAGGGTCAGCAAGAGGCTCCAGCTGGACCCATCTCTGCTCTGGCCGTGCTGCCAGCAGGTGTCCCTGAAGGAGCTCTGCAACCAGCACCCCAGGCTCTCCCAGTCTGCATTACTACTCCCTGCACCCATCCTCACTGGACCAGTACTGCACATAAATGGCGCTTTTTTTTTTTGTCCTGCTGTTATGTCCTCACTCAAGGGCATAAGCATAAAATAACTTCCTCAGAAATTCCTGGTTGAAATTTGTACCTTGGTAACAGTCCCTGCCTTTTGCTCTAACACTGCATGTTTGCAAGGTTTGACAGATTCACAATTTATCTGACACAAAATCCTAGCAGCAGCTGAAATAAAACCAAAACAGTCACCAAAACCAGTGGACAGCTCATCAGGAACATGTTGCCGACTGTGAGAAGTTGGAACCACAAATGAGCAGGATGGAGAGTATTACATCTCTGACACAAGCCAGCAGCTTCAAGGACGTCTGGAGGTAAAAGAAAAGCCTGTTTGCTATTAGCTCTCTGGTGCTGCAGCACTGTAGCACTTCTAAATCCATGAGAAAACAACAAAACTGGGTTTCCTGATATTCTGTAAAAATATAACAAGCTTTCACAGTATAATTTTAGTTATTAAAAAATAAATAAATCATAAAAGCTTAAGCACTTTGCCCTGCTCCTGACTCCATGAGCTGATAGATTCCAAGCAAACAGGCTCTGTGTATGGGGACAGATTTCAGCTGTGATCAGCAAAAATGTTAAGAGGTTTTCATTTCTTCACGCACAATAAACCTAGCACTGCTCTAAAATCTGGTCTTTCTGACCACCAGAGCTGCTTGTAGCCTTGCTCAGGCAGGGCATGGGGACACAGAATGGAAGTCAGGAAGATGAACAACAGTTTAAATTAACAAGTCATGAGCTCAACCTCAGAGCCTTTTTCAACCAGTTCATGTAAACTATGTTATCTACGGATAAGGGACCAAAGAAGGGCACCTGGATTATTCTGTTCAGCTCCCTCCTACTCCTGATCAGAGGCAAAGATATGTTGCCCTGGGTCAGGCTGATGAAGAAACAGGTGGCCCTTGAACTTGTAGCTTGATGCTTCACCCCAGAGTGCATCACTGGCAGGCACAGAAACCTTTCCTGGGGAGAAACTGATGAGTATGAAGTTGCTTTCAGTTGAGAAACCACAAATAAAAGTCAATCAGTGCATACTGTACTCTGGTAAATTATCAGTAAAATAATCTGGGTTTTGTTACAACTTAAATTTTCTACTAAAAAATTAATCATTTTCCTAAAACTTCTGGGGAACTCCCATTTCTGCTCACCTCTGGTTTAAAGGCATCTGTAATCAGAAAGGCTTACCAACAGGTGAGGAAAGGAACGACCTTCTTCCATGTTAAGCAGGCTTCTGTCAATATTGTCCTATCTCCATGCTCTCTTGCTTGTCTGCTGCTCCCCAGGGAGATGATCTTCACAGCTACAAAACTCCCTGACCTGAAACAATGCATGCAAACTCTCTTTGACTGCTTTTATCTGGACTCAAACTGCAGAGATAAAATGGCACAGGAACCAATTCCCTTCTCTAAAGTGAACCCACCCAATCCTTATCTCTTGCTCTTGTTCCTTGATCAATGTACCAGCCATGCAGAACAACAAAGCTGCAATTGCCCTCAGAAATCCCTTTCCTGTACACAAAGGTGACAAAAATTGTTTCTTTTGCAGGTAAGGCTTATTCCAGACCATAGAAACAACTTATTTTCTCCCTCCTCCCTTTCCCTGAGGCAACAGGAGTTTCTGTGGGAGCAGAACTTCACACTTCCAGAGAGACTTTCCCATAAGAGGCAAAGAAGGGACAGCTAATAAGCACTTGTGAACGTCCCCTCTATAAAGATAGACTCCTACTAGTTTGTGGTGTCATCTGGCAGCATTGATGACACAGCTGAGAGAATAAAGCCCATGACACAGAGACATTTTGCTACAGAACAAACACAACTGCTACAGTGCCTGTGAGATACGCTGTGGAAGGCTCTGGTGGCTGGTGCTTGGGCACCAGTATGCAAATAGAAAACAGGAAGCAAGGAGCTAGTCTAGAGAGACTCCTATGGCTGCTTTATCCAGACCATCAGACTAGGTGGGTAAAGCAGAGAGGAAAGGAGGGCATCCATATTCCTGGACTGTAATTTGGCAGCTCTCTATAGCATAAGCACCTTAGAAAGAAGTGTAGCTGTAAGCACTGCTTGAGCTACAGATGTTCCAGCTGGCACCCAGGTTGGTGCAGGCAGCTGTATGGCCTGTAACAGACCAGTTACAGATTGCTAAAACCTGGGCTTCACCAGTGTTAAAGAAAAAGGCATCATTGCAACTGCCTGTTGCTTGGAGCAACTGAATGTCCATTGCCTCAAGAACAGGCATCCTCAAGCTTTTTACCAGTTTCACAATGGTCACTAACACCCTTTCCACCTCAGTGGGAAACCAGTGCTACACACAACCTGATTGAACTCCACTGACTTCAGTGGATGGATTTGGCCCCAGATGGACTGTATGGCTGTGAAAACCACATAGTTCCCACCCTGCACTACTATAGGTGACCCTGACCCCACTGCACTAGCACTAACCTGCTGGAAGAGTTGAGATCCTTGTCAGGAGCTCACTGCAGGCCAGGTGTTAGATCAACATGGCCAGAAACAAAGTGAGACAAAAACAGCACCTGATTGTCAGCTGACAAAAACCACATTTGAACATTTGACCTCTTTTTCCTCATCCCTCTAAAAAGAAACCCCAGTCACACCCTCTCGCCACAGCAGACTGGAGGAAAAATATTAATTAAAATCAAGTGAAACATGTACAGTAAAAATCACCTCTGGCTAGGTGTCCACAACACTCTAATGAGTTCCCAAGGTTTATAGTGCAATTTAATTTGATCTGTAGTTGAAGACCAGTCTCCATCACTTTTGGTGATCAGGTTCTGCTGATTCCTTTGAAAGGTGCATAAGACAGGTTTCACTGTAGACTAAAATATCTTAGGAACCATTCAAGCAATTAGACAGTGGCACTGGTATGGCTGAACAGTCAAATGTGTCCATAGAAACCAAACCAAAGCTGCCTTGTGAGTACCATGTGAGTTTCTAATTAGCAAATGTCTGCTCTATTTCCCTTTTAGTGTTCAGTAACATTGAGGTGATTCATTCAACAACTGGCCATAATTCCAGCACTGATATGGCAAATACAAATCTCTCATACAAAATATTGATGTGTGCTAGCAAAACAAGTGGTAAGTGCCTAGGCACGAGCTGCCCAATGGGAGCTCTGGCAGTGGAGAAACTGCAGGGTCCAGGCCAGCCAGTATTACAGGACCTGGCAGATCTGAGATCTTTAAGCACCTCCTCCAGCACACTCTTGTGTTCAAAAGAATAATCCTCCCATAAGTTAAATATAAAAATAGATCCTCCATCTTCATTCATTTAACATAGCTGACAGATGACTTCCACTCTCGAGTTTTCTGTCCCATTGTTTTCAAGGAGGGGGAGGTAGCTTCAGATCCAACAGGCTGTAGGCAAAAATGTTCCAGAAAATGGCAAACAAGACAAAAATTACATAAATAGAAAGGAAAATCCACCATAATGTCTGATCTTGGAGTCTCTGCTCATAGTTCCTCAGGATGATGACACCAAGGGTAATTCCAACCATCACCCCACCCAGGTGAGCCATGAAGCTGGGGTGTGGGCACGGTGGGTAAGCGGAGGGGTGGAATCGCAGCCACACGGCTCTTCCAAATTCAAAGCTCACTGGAACAAAGAAGAGAAAATAAATCGATTATCTAGGTCTATAAATCATGAAGTCCATCTTGCAGGCAGCACTGCATCCCTGAAAAGGTGAATAAGAAACTGCCTTGTGTGGTGAGCACAGAGAAGCTGGCAAGTCAAGGCTGTGTGAGGGTTGTGATGCACAGACACGAGGCCTCCTTGGTGGCTGGTAAGTGATCTGGGTTCATGGGAGTATAGACCAGTGGGGGATTATTAAAAAATTTATACCAGACCCATTAAAAAAAGTCTTTGAAGACAATTATCTGATGGATACAGATTCTATGATACACATTCTAGTCTCCCTTATTGTGCCACCCTAGGGATATGGCTGGAAGATAATTCATTAATGTGTTTACAATGCTGTTGTCATCTCAGACAGAAGGTGTTCTAGGAAACCTAAGCATTCTCATTCCAAAAATATTGCTTGTTTGCAAATCCAAAGATGAGAAGTGTAAGTCCCAAATGCCACAAGCTACAGAGGCTGGCTAACAACAAATCCTCATTTACAAACGCTTGTGTTGAAAGCCAAAGTCTGCTTTTCACAGTGATGTGGTTTCTGCCGCCAGAAGGTCCAGCTGCAAGTTCCTACCAAAGCTGCTGCAAAGACAAAATTCTCTGCATCAGCCTGAACTCTTGTGACAAGGACAAAGAAAACAGGACGGTGTGTGTGCCAAGGATTGCATGATACTTACTACAGACCAAGGCAACGGCCATGCGCAGCAGCTTGAACTGGCACTTCATTCCTGACCAGTTCTGGAAAAGAGACAAGGAAAAAAACTGATGCTGCACACAAACCTGGAGGGATTTTACAATCAGATCTGCACTGGAAGAGCATCAAGGACGATTAGTCCTTGAAACAAACCCCTTTCACTGCCTTTGCCACCTGGCTGTGAGCTGTCCCCTCCTCACACCAAACACAGCTCTGCCAATCCCAGAGAACATAAACGTAAGGGATATATTACAGACACATCCAAGTTATGGACAGTCCACAGCATCTTTGCCTGGCAGCCCTACTGAATTTCCTTGCCTGGCCTTGCTGTTCTTCAGTCTTCAGATGGACTAGCTTTTAACATGTTACTATGATGTTTCACCTTAAATTTTGACTTCTGAAAATATTTTAACTTACCTACCCTGCAAAACCCTGTGGTACCAGGCCACATCCCATACAATTCTGTTAAGTCGTACCTAGCATTCAACACAAGCATCATCTTGGTTGACATCAACCAGCTCATCATGACTCACTTGGAAACTCAACACTGTCACCTGTCAGACAATTTCTCACTGCATTCAAGCCCTATTGCACTTTTACAGTGCTACTGCCAGTACCTCAGGCTACCCAAAATTCTGCAACTTGGATCTTCTGCAGAGCACACACAAATAATAAAGACCTCAATTAAAACACATCAAGGAAAAAGGGCCATACGAAAGTCTCCCGTCTTCAGGCTTGGTCGTTAATTGAGACAGTGGAATAAGAATCTCTAAACGATAGTCAGAAATCTGGGGAGACATGTTTAAATTCCTCCTTTTCCAGTTGGACAAAATTTCAAAGCAGAACAAGAAATCATGTGCCAGGGAACTCAGATGTATGACAACACTGTTGTTATTATTATTAAGCGATTAAATAAAATTTTGCCTGTTCAAAGTAGTATGAGATACCAAGCTAGCCAGGCTTCTTGTGACAGACTCCCCATTTATGACACTGATGGAATAAAAAATAATGGTTGTAAACTCTTCAGCCTAACTTTAATAGCACCCAGTGAGTTTGCAGCCTGCTAAAGAAATATTCTGCTATACATACTACAGATATTCAAGTTTCAGGTGGGATTGATCTGTAAATCATTTCTGTGGCTCCAAAAATGCAATCTCTACAAAATAAGTAACTCATTTTCTCTCTCCACAGAGCCACCTAATGCAGTCAGAAGGCTCTGAACTCATGCTGATTACAACTGTGCTGCTGCCTTCCGTTTTCATTTACATGTAGTTGTTTTGAATCCTTCACCTCACTCTTTTCCTTAGGGTGACATGTTTTATTACTTCCCCCTGTTGTTTATTTTATTTCATTCCAAGAGTATTTATTTCTACAAGCAGGAA